GTTAATTAATATCTATTTCACTTATTAAGAAAGCGCATTGAAAAATACCAATTGAGCTACCGGCGATTATCACTCAATTGGCAGAGCAACAGCGCGGGACACAAGGTTCGAGTTCTGTCCGTGCCATAAAATTTGTTCTATGATATTTTTTATAATAGTTGGTGAAATTCACCTGCTATATATAATATCTAAAAAAGATGCACTGTCACCTTTGGATATTCGAAAATCCATGAAATGAAACCGAAACGCGATTAATCTTCACGACTTTTTCATTCGTTTCGTTTTTTATTAACATAGTAAGATTTTATATAAAGATTTCCAGACGAAGTCCAACATTTTTCTAATAATTAATATCAATTCATTATATAGTATATATATATATAATCATATAAAAATGATGGACCCAGTTGGAGTCGAGTCCATGACCCGGTGATGTTTGCCATACCTGGCTATTACACCAACGAGTAGTGTGTCTTTACTTGACCTCTTGTTCTATTTTTAAAACGTGTTATCAATTGGGTACGAAAATATCGTAATATCAGAATAATCGTGATTAATTAGTTTTATTGATAACACGTACCACACTACAGCGTTTCAATTTATCAAGTAACAAGAGAACAGAAGCTTCTTTGTTGTTAATAGTATCGCCTTTGTAATTTCCAGTGTAAGTTTACTAGCAACAGAGGCATGCGTAGGTCGGCTATCGGGTTGCATGCGAACGCTCCTAAATTTACCTTCGCCGTGCTACTGCCATTAAAAGCATTTACGTTCTATACGATACGATATCGCTGGGCGGCTTATGTTACTGCTTTGGACGGGCGACAAAGCGTTTATTTTTACCAATAAGGTCGCGAAACCTGAGCTTAACATTGCTTGATTAAATTATCTATCTTGACTTATTCGTTGGTGTAATTGTAGCATTAAACTGGTTTGGGTTCGATCTCCGACGCTTTCAACAGATTTCTAATCAATTTATAATTTTATTAAAGATAATATAATTATGTAAGTGCTGCGTGTAGTTTACGCGCGCATTCACACGGTCATAGCGTGACCATGGTTGCTGAAAAGTATCCGAAAAGGAGCGTAGTTAAAATGAATTAATTAATATTTTTCGCGTTTAAACCGTTATAAGTGTTTTTATTTAAATATACTGAAGTAAATGAGAAAAATAAATAAAATTGTGCTACTAATTCCAGGAATTGTATTTAACACTGAACATTTCGTTTGTAAAATACATTCAAAGTCAAAATTAAAAATCATTTATTCATGTACGTTCATAAGTGTATATAGTTATATATACACTTATGAACGTCACAAAACCAAAGAATCTAACTTACTACCAGTTCTCAAATCAATTACCTAATCTACCTAACCACCTCCGCAGCTCAATTCTTCGCCAGCAAGCTAAGCTCCAAGAGAACGTGGGTTCAAATCCTCGGGACTCAATTAATTACTCAGGGCACAGAGGTCAACAAATCAACTACATACATTATTCAATTTTCAATATAAATAAAAACATATTGAAACTCTTCTTATCGGTTCTATTAAAAAAAATGTTTTTAGAGATTTTTCAAGAGAGATTAGACCTAGGCTCTAAGTACCTAACGGCAAACTAAAGTTCATGTTGCTAGCAAATTTTGTATGTTCATCGACGGATTAATCATACAACGATAGAAGATATTAGATCCGTGCATCATTTGTGAATGTGGTAGGGAAATGTTTGTTCGGGAATAGACTAATAGGATGTACAGAGTTACCGCGTTTGCCACTCAGGTGCACGATATCGCATTTAAAGGTGATAATATTTATTACGATAGACTGTCTGTAGTTTACGCGAGTAGTACACATTTAAATTAAACACTTAAACGGTTTAAAACGCGATATATTTTAGTTAAACTTGTTTGAAAATTATTTTTAACTACGGCCCGACGTTTTGCAGCAGCCGTGGTCATGAGGAGACTAATAGAGAAAATATATCGCGTTTTAAACCATTAAAGTAAAATTATTTGGATTTCAAGTTTCGCACTTCCTGCACGTTCCCCTAATTAAGTTGTTTTACATTATTTTCCTAAGAAGGGTCGCCTGGAAGAGATCGCTTAATAGCGATAAGGCCGCCCGTTACACTCCATACTTTATAGATATTATTATTATTTTTAGTTCATTGTAATTGTGTGCGCGTGTTGTGTAAAAAGTATAAATAAATAAATAAAAAAAATAAAGTGTTTTATTTGAATTATTAAGATATTTAGCAACACAAAACATACATAACTGCGTCTTTGACAGGCTCGCCGAATGGTAGCAATGTATGGCTAATAATCAACGGGTCGTAGGTCTATTATAATTTTTTGAAACAAGTTTAACTTCGTCTGGAAATCTAGATATTAAGAGGGTGGTAGGAATATCGAAATTCCGCTCCAGTAACCAACTAGCGTCCATAGATTCTGTCTGTGGCTTTCATAATATCCAAAACCAAAATAGGCCGACAGTGCATTTTGTTTAGAATTTATATGCTGCGGTATATCATCAAGCATGAAGTGAACCCTATGCTTGTCTGTCCTCCTCTATCCTTAAAAGAACAGTCTATGAACAAACCATAGGAAATTATCAAATAATTTGTGCTATAGATTATATCTATTGTCTATTATATCTTCACATTTATTATTAAGATAACATTATCGATGTAGAAATTAATAAATAATTAATCTGGTAGCAACGAGACTCACATGTCAAAGGATTATGCGATCCCTTTGTTAATGACGACGTCTTTGAAGATGTGTTACTGAGCTATCATTTTCTAGCTTAATAAAAATAACTTGTTTACGCGATTATTTGATTCACAAAAAAATTGTACATGGGAAGAAGTAGTGACATTTTTACATCCGAGTATACAGAACATGATTTTCTTCGTATCGCGCGGAATTTTTTTTCTTAAAACGCCTTAAATTGATTAAATATAGTCTCCCCGTGACCACGGCTGCTGCAAAGCATCCGAAACGTCGGGCCGAAGTTAAAAATCATTTTCAAATAAGTTTAACTAATGTATCGCGTTTTAAACAGTTAAAGTGTTTTATTTAGATTTAAATTGATTAAATATAATTTCTACTGTAAAGCGTCTCTGAACATTGTCGACATATTTTTCGCTGAATGGACAAATGCATTTATTCATTAAAATTGTAATAATACTAATTACTATTTTTCTATAACGTTACTCAATTTATTTGTAAGGTACTTTTTGGCATTTCTTCTCAAAACGTCACACATCTAAACTCAAAACTATATTTATAAGAAACAGCTTTGACGATCTTGTCAATTAAATCTATATCTATACTAGAATTATAAAAGTAAAGAGTTCGGATTGTTTTTTTCTGTGTCTTGGTTAAAGCAGATATCGAGGCTTTAAAACATAACCATGACTCTGAGCTGGAAATGTGGAAAAAATGGGGAAATTATTTATCTTTGTGGACTTTTCGCTGCGAAAACAGTTCAAGGTACCAAAAAAATATGTGTGAAAGAATGATTCCTCTTTAAATGATTTAAAAAAACGCCCGCGACACTATCACTCTTATTACAAAATAAGGTTAACTATGGTACTGATTTAGATTCATTTAGACCATGGTTTGAGAGTTATACCAAGACTCCGCAGTTCTAGTTTAAACCTGTAAGTATTTTTGTAATAAGGCCGTATATGTCTATCTTTAAAAATTAACTTGCAAGAACAACGGTACTCGAATGACGGGTCGCGACCGATGTCGTAACTGACGGGCAGCTTAAATTTATAAAGATGTAGAGATTTGCAAAAACAATTTTGGATTTGAAAAAACACGGTTGAATTTTAAAATAACTATTCTACGCGTTTCATGTTGACTAAGTATACACACACAAAGGCTAACACACTTTTATATGTCGCCACGTCCTTTGTTAGTTAATTCTACTTTCACAAAAGTTCGATCTTTTTATAGCGGCACAGATACCTCTTGAATTACGCCTCTGTTCTCATCTCGACATCTTATATATTCTGTCAAATTTATAAACGTATCAACGGCTATAAAATTCAACGTAAGGAGGTCGTCCGCGATCGTTTATTTTATACAAATTGTGTTATTTAAGAGTATGTAATAAAAATAAACGATTTATTTTCGTATCTCGAATCTTGATCTTGTTTAAAGTCTAGCGGTAAATTAGCTTTTAATAAACTGTAAGTAGAGATTGATGATTAAAAAAAAATCTAATGTACGATACAACAAATTATCTATTTATTATATCGATAACCGATGATTTTAGCTTGATTAACGTAATGCGATACGGAGATAAATTGTTGGCGAAGCGATGAGTTTATTGATCGAAATTAATAAAGAAATTCTATACGGTGTTTGCTTTGCTCCGTAACACGTGTTACATGCCGTCTAAAGAACTTGAGTGTTATAGCGAGTATTTTATAATGAAGGTAAAAAAATTAAGCTATACCTTGTTTAATATTAAAAAATTATTATTGTCATAGGTACTTTCAATGCTTTTACTTTTTTAGATAAAGGTTTACATTTCATTTCTCTAAAATACAAACACTTAAGGAGTTAAATTTCTATGTTTTAAGGTTGAAATTACATTGCGCGAGAGGTGCATGTATCAATAAGTTGAAAAAATTCGACGATGAGGACTCGGTAGCTCAATTGGTAGAGCAACAGCACGGAACGCTGACGATGCCGGTTCAAGTCCTGCCCGAGTCGAAATTTTTCAATTTATTTTCGATTTTTAAATTCTATATAGTTATTAATTTATAATTTTAAGACCAAGAAAGATCACAGTTTAGCTTTAGTTATACAAAAACCTAATTGATTTCATGTAAAGGAGTCGCATAGGTTCGCTTTAAGTAATTCTATCTCTATTTCAAGTCAAACCTATGACCCTTAACAGCAAGCAGTGCCATCATGAGCACTTGAAAAAACACTTGAATAACATTTCAAAAATATTAAAGTTTTCAAACATTCTCATATTGTTAACAGGAATTCGCTGAAACGGCTATGAACGAGCTCCTTGGTTGGTACGGGTATGAGAGGTTAGAGTTGCGTCGTTGGGCGGCTTCAAGAGCCAGGGAACCATCCAGCCCAGAGCACCAGACTGAACAAAAAAACAAAGGTAGGTAATATTGTTTGACATGTTTATGAAAACTTAAATAATTATAATAAGATTAATTAGAAAACCGCTATATGTATATAACTTCTTCACTCTAATATATGCCCTTTGATTACTTTTTAGTGCTTACCTAAGAACTAAATAAAGGAATGATCCGCGCTGATTTATAGTACCTAACATAAAAAAGCGATTCATACATAATGAACAACTGAATATAATGGATTTTAGAATCTCCTCTTTTTAAAGTAATTAGAGAGAATTGTTTATTTCAAAAGGTTTTCTACTAATTTTCCCACTTAGGATACTTTGTAAAATTGTTACTTGGTTATTACTATTAAACATTCCTAGAACAAGGTAAAGAAGGGGCATTTTATGTCGAGTTGTAATTCGAATTGTGATCCGCGCTGATTTATAGTACCTAACATAAAAAAGCGATTCATACATAATGAACAACTGAATATAATGGATTTTAGAATCTCCTCTTTTTAAAGTAATTAGAGAGAATTGTTTATTTCAAAAGGTTTTCTACTAATTTTCCCACTTAGGATACTTTGTAAAATTGTTACTTGGTTATTACTATTAAACATTCCTAGAACAAGGTAAAGAAGGGGCATTTTATGTCGAGTTGTAATTCGTTGAAATTTTCAAACGCACCCTCGTATGGTAACTACGTTCTCTGACCTAATGTTTCACATTTCCAGGAATAGGTAATCTATCAATTTAATCTTAATATGGATTTCGTGGAATCTTTTCTAATAATAATGCCCTTGATAAATATTTGTACGGATACGTCGACGTTTCGTTATTTACAAATTTGATACCACAAAGCTGGTTTACTATTCCTAATGAACGTGAATTTGCTTTCGCGTATCGTGTACCAAATATCGTGTTATATAAGATACTTTGTGTGCCACAAATGAAATTGTGGAACTTTGTGGTTAAAATGCGACGATTAAGAGCGTATTATGTTACTTGAATATGAAAAAGACGTATGACAACTTTTGGAGAATTCAATAATTGGCGGGGGACAGTAGGCACCTACCGATTGAAGGCTAGTTGTTAATTCCACAGATTAAGCTGACAACTTCAGCCTATTATAGAGTACCTATTAATATTAACGAGTAAATAAACATTTTGGTGAAATTATTTTCTAGCAATGCAATTATGTGTTTAAGAATATAATCACAAAAGATCCACAAAATGTGGCTATGAAAAAGGAACTAAGTAGGTATTTCTCCTGATTAGGACTAAGTCAGTCTTCGGAATTCAAAGACACTGTGGTAAAGAAAGCTTTAAAGGAAGTACTGTTCTTCTCTATTTTTCATTTGAGAATTTCGTAAATTCTTAACATTATCGTTGGTAAACTAAAATATATAAAAAAAAATAAGAGGTTTGTTTAATTCGCTCTTTGTATGTGTATGCGTATTTAAATTCTCGCAGATTAGGTATATTGATATGTGAAATTCTTTACTCTGCGTAAGTAGGCACTACGGTCTGAACATATACACGAATAATGTACAGTGAGTTCGTTCGAGAATTGAAAATTAATGGGCACATGCAATATTGGTAACGAATAATTCGAACGTAATGAACGGAATCTCAAATATCGTACAATCCGATCTCGAATCGTTAGTCCGCGAAACAGAAATTAATAAGGTCCATAACGAGATATCATTGCTTTTGTCTGAACGAGGCTTCATTAATGCGTGTGCCTATCGCGTTTCCGAATTATTCTTCGTTCAGTAATTACTAATGGACTTCGCCAGGTTATGCTGTTTGCAGTACACTCGGTACTAGCCTGGACTACTTACTTAAGTTGTCCAGTTACAGTTACAGTACGTTACAGGTTAATTAAAAGCCAACGAGGATTAAATAAGGATGCTTAACTACCTTTTGAGATTTTTTATAATTTTTACTAACCGTGCAGAGTAAAGGTTAGATGTAGCTTATTTAAAAGCCAACGAGAATTGAATAAGAGGGAACTACTGTGTGCAATTTTTTTGGAATGATTACCATTTAGTATATTGTTTTTCGGGCTGTTCGGCCAAAGAAACTGAGAAGAGGTTTTCACGTTTCGCCATAACGAGCGGCCGAGATCAGCAAGAGATGTTGTTAGCTCCTCGATTGCCTTTAAGAATGCTGCGCTCGTGATGGCGAAACGTCGAGAATCTCTTCTCGCTTACGTCGGTTTAACAGCCCGAAAAACAATGATATGCTGAACGGTGGCCGTGAAAGCCTTACACAATTTATTATTACAATTTAGTTGCCATGACAGATTGATATATAGAAGTAAGTTGGGTTTGATAAAACTTTCCACTCGAAAATGACTAGATTAGTTTCAATTGTGCTACTCTTAGTTTAAAATGCCTTATTTTTGAAAATAGGATATTTTTTTCTAAAATAACGATGTCGTGAACACGCAGAGTAATATTAAAATATTAAATTCCAGATGAATGTTCATGGTGCAATAAGAATATAACCAGCGAGAGTGGAGCTCTTCAGCAGTCCGGGGCAGTCTTCTGTTCAGAAGTATGCTTCAGTCAGTCGCGGCGAGCGAACTTTAAACGTGCCAAGACATGCGATTGGTGTAGACACGTGAGGCACACTGTTGCTTATGTTGATTTTCAGGTACTGTAGACAAACGTGTTCCTTGCCTGAACTAATTTTGTACCATAACATACTGAAAATCTAGAGTAGATATTACTTGCGCCATAGAGACCAACGTCAAACATTTTTACACTAATTTTGTTCTTAAGAAAGATATCTAAATATAACATTTTAACGGTTCAAAACGCGAAAGGTATTAGTTACGCCGCACAGGCAGCAGCCGTAGTAACCGCGAAGCATCAAAAACGCGCGTTACGTAATTAAATACATTTTAAATAAATTTAAGTAATACTATTTTCGTTTTAAACCTCTAAAAATGTTTTATTTAAATGTGTACTACTTGTGTAAACTAGCCAGATTGTAAATATAAGGTCTACTCGAAGGTTTAATCGGTAAACAAAAGCTTAAAATATCTTTAAACGATTCTTACGTATGCTTATTATTATTATCGAGGACACCGATAGAAGGTTACACATTCTGCTATTTCACCCATTTCATCAATCCCCCTTTACGGGGATATTGGGTTATCCAAATCTCACTGTGTTTCCATTAAACCTGCTTAGAAGTAGAAGTAAATATTTCCATACATAATCGGAGTTTATTATACTTTGAATCACCAATTCGCACTTAGTTCCAGTGTTAGAGACACCCAGTATTTGAATCAGAATTTACAAAATTAAGTAAAGCGATAAATATAATAGAATTAACGTATTGTTCTTAATTCCAGGATGGTGCTACACAGTTACAGTTCTGCTCAGATAAATGCTTGAATCAATATAAAATGCACATCTTCTGTCGTGAAACGCAATCTCATCTTGATCTCAATCCACATTTGGTGAGCACATCGTCAACATCCAATCTTATCACACCTGATCTATGGTTGAAAAATTGTAGAAGCAGATCGGTCTCACCAACGTCAGATAGGTCTGGCTCGCCGGGCGCAGAAGTCAAACAGAACAACGAAAAGGTAGAACTAGCAAGCATTAGAAAATCCCCCATGCCCCTCATCACAATAGCTCCAACTGCAAAATTGATGAATCCCAAGAATAGCGAAGATAAAGTATTCACTCAAAAATCACCAGACACAAAGAAAGAGATGAGAAGCAGTAAGATGAACTTACGAAAGCGTAGAGCTTCTAAGTGTTCTGCCACTGTTACTTCTCAAACCTTGAAACAACGAGCGGCCACACCAAAAGCTCAAGATTTGAGAATGTGTAGTCCATCTATAGATGGGTCATCACCAGCTTCTTCAGTAACTATCGGGAATAGTGCCATACATTCACCACCAAGTAATATTAATACTCAAATGCCACCATTTAATCCAATGTTCGGCATGCCTCCACCAGTTTTTATGGACAATCCTCATATGAATGATTACAGACACCCAGGGATGTTTCCCCCACGTTTCAATTTTATGCCTTCTCGACCAATATTGGCTCAAGAACGACCCAGACTTATTCCACCAGTCAATTTCTCACAAGCAATCGGTCAGCCACCTCCAGTAACAGTTTTGGTTCCGTACCCAGTGGTTTTGCCTATCCCTCTTCCAATACCCGTGCCAATTCCCTTGTCGTCCTTTTTAAAAGCACATCGGGTAAATAAAGTCAAAACAGAAGTGAGTAACGATGACACAGAAGGTCCTTTAGATTTTACAATAAACGGAGACAAAAATGAAAGCAAAGTATCAGAAGAAGGAACCTCAAAGAAAAATGAAGTTCAGCATGTTATAACTGAAAGTAACGAGAGGCGGGAATCTCCTAAAGAAAGTACAGAAGCATCGGCAACAAATCCAGAGCAGACTTTGCCAAAATTCAAAATAACCAGGCTTGGAAGCAAAATGGCGAAAATAGTCGCGAAATCTAGAGAATCGTCAGAATCGTCTAGGCCATTACGAAAAAGACGAAGATTGGTTGAGGTCACAAGTGAAGATGATTCACTCATTCCCAAAACAAGAAAAACAGTTGAAGTATAAAAAATACGTCTATTCTGTAACTTATGGTTAAAATCTCGTATACATATCACAAAGTAGGTATGATGTAAAGTGTAATGAACGCAGTTCAATCACCTATATGTTGCTAGTCCTAGATTAAGATATCTTCGCTATAATAATTATTTCATAATATAATAACAACGATACATTTAAGGTTTAATTTATCACTAGATATCCATTTAAACGTGATCAATATGTAAATATTATTAAAATAGTATAAACTCAAAGAAATCAATTTATTTTCCTGTGTCAATAAAACTTTTACACATTCCTTTTATCTGCAGTGTTGTATTGTAAAAATGATAGATAAGTTTAAACATATCTAAATTACTTGATAAGAAGCTTTAAAACGAAAAAAAAATGTTATATTTCTTTCAGTAATTACTTAAAAACTCATTCCCCAGTTGGATTAATATCGTAACTATAGGTATTTACACAAAAACACTTGGGAAAATAAGACTAGTAGCATCAATTATTAACAACTGAAATTTCCATACCTACATGAATCATACAAGGCCACGGCACCCATTCTCGAAAATGTTACAGAATGTTTTAGTAATCTTAGTAAAGAAAAACAACATAGAAATTTGGTACAATTTAATATTGAAATAATTATTAGAATCATCAAAGGAAATCATTGTCATTATTATAGTCTTTATCATAAACTTTACACTTATTCTAAAACTTGGCCTCAATCACTAGATTCAGTAAAGTGGTTAAAGAGAATATTGAAACATACTTCATACTGCGGACATTTTTAAAACATAAAACAAACGTGAGATCCAATTTGTAAGTCATTTTTCTAAATAATATTTCAATTCATGCATTTGTGTATGTCATAACTGTTCTAATAAATTTTTTTTCTCCACAATTTAACGATTGGCAAAAGAAAGAAATGGTGGGAAAATATACTGTGGTCCGATTTTAATTTCCATGAAATAATTCTTTCAGCAACCAATCAATCAAATTTGATATATTTTTGAACAAATTACTGCTTTTTGTTATACAAATCCCAAAGAGTAATAACTCCATCGAGACCACCAGCTGCCATTAAATTTGCATTCCACATTGAAACCTTCTGCTCAGAATACACCACATCCTGAACAGCTCTTTTATGCTCAGTTAAAACAACAAGTGGTCGCAGGGAGAACCAGGAAAATATCCTGATATGTCCATCCCAACCACCAGAAACAAAAACTTTTCCATCAGACCTCGATTGAACTTTATTGATTCCTGGATTTTTAATACTTATATCAGTACCATGGGCCAAGCTTAAGTCTTTTCTTCCTATGCTAAAAACTTGTATCACATTTGAGGCATTGCCAATAATGCCCTTATGTTGTTCAATGTAGAAATCCACAGACATAGGACATTCTTTAGTTTGGAGTTTTCCAATACATTGACTAGTGTTGAGATCCCAAAGGAGGAGCCATCCAGCTTCATAACCCACTAGTAAGTGAGCTTTATCTGCTGCCAATTCTATATATTTAATGCACATTGGGTCTCCAAGCTTTTGCTCTGATGTTTCTGGTTTCAAATTTCCAATTTTTTCCCCAGAAAAGTTGTATAAGTATATCTGGGATTCCCTATCAGGTACATACAGTAATTTGAGTTTTGTGTTGGCTTCAAAACGGCAGAAGCCAGGATAATCTATGTCAATAACAGAGTCCTCTTTGTAGCCAGAGTTTGTTAAATTAAATATTTTATACTTTCCACCTTTTTCTTGAGTTATCAACTGGTCTTCTGTGTGAATAAGATGTAAGATGGGAGCTTGACCAACTTTGATTTTTTGTTGGACTCGGTTTGTCTGTAAAAAGTATTATTGTTTGTTTTAAAATAATTCACAACAAGATAAATACAATAACAAATAAATCTGATAAGAATTTAATTAGATTTAAATAAAAATTCAGTTTACATAAAGTATCGTCTAGTATAATAAAATGTGTTTTATTTTACATCTGCAATTGTTTCTTTGGGTCACATATTGAGGGTAGTAAACAAAGAATTGTGTATGTGATATCTTATACTGGCCCTACCAAGAATAATACTGCGTAGTTGCAGCTTTGTAAACATTACTTAATATTCTTCGATCATGAGATCTCACCTGAAGGTTGTATGCATAAACATAACCATTTTTTGAACCGGCTAGTAACCTCTCGAGACCGCCGGGTAGAAAATTAAACGCCAAAGAATAAACCGGCGTATTATCGACATTTCGGATAGTGTACACTGGATCGGGAGGTAATAAAGCCATGGTGGATCAAGCTCAAACCGAAATATTAAACCGGAATATAAAAATAAAATAATATTTAAATTAATTTAAGCCATCAGAAACGAAACCACAACTACGCACAACACAAAACTGACGTAAAATTTAAAAACAAGACAAACCTTCATTCAATAATATGTTTTGACGTTGACATCTAACAGCAATCGTCACTTCCGTATGATTTGGTAGATTTGTCAAATTACATCAGTGGTACAGATAATGTCAGATTATATTTGTGGTACAGATAATGCTCAGAATTACCCTGCATGATCGAATCAGGAATGAGGGGATCCGTAGGAGAACTAAAGTCACTGACATAGCCCATCGAATTGGCAAGCTGAAGTGGCTGTTGGCTGGGCACATTGCACGTAGAACTAACGGCCGTTAGGGTAAAAAGTTTCTAGAGTGGAGACCACGTACCGGACGTCGAAAACCTGGACGACCTCCTACCAGGTGGACCGACGACCTGATCAAGGTAGCAGGAAAACGCTGGATTCAACTAGCGAACGACCGGACGTACTGGAAGTCTATGGGGGAGGCCTATGTCCAGCTGTGGACACCGAACGGCTGAATCGAACAGATAATGTCGGCTGCTTCTTAATTTATTGACAACGAACTTAAGTTAAATGTCAACTTTATCAATGATCCAACTTTCAATTGCAGTCGTCAGACGTCATTTCATTATTAGTGAGACAGGCTTTACCAAGAAGCTCCCCTAGCATTGTAGTTTGTACGGTGTTTTATAAATTCATAAAGTTTTGAATGAGAAATTATCTTTGTACCTAATAATGGGTGCCATATGTAAATTAAGGATTCTAATTTAACAGTTGAAGTTACAAATGGCTGCGGATTTGCATCTAAAATCGAGCAAACAAGCGAAGTATAATATATCGTATAGGAAAATTGTGTATCATAGGTTCTTCGTTGGTCTACTATTGTTTATAGTGCTATCACTAGTTTTTACAGTAGTGTTCAATGCTTTTTCTGGAAGTGCGCCACGTTCTGATTTCTACGAACGAGTGAATTTGGAAGCAGTGAATTTACCTGTACAAAAAGTGGATGGTGACTCTCCGTTTTCGGCGCCTCGCTTTGTGAATTGCACATACTGGAATTGTTTTAATGTTTACAAATGTGGTCGAGGAGGTCACGATAAAATATCGATATACATTTATCCTTTACAAGACTACAGGACAGAAAATGGGAAAGCAGTGTCTCATTTTTCTAGAGAGTTTTTTGAGATTTTAGAAACAATTAAACATAGCAAATATTATACACCTAATCCTGATGAAGCATGCCTTCTAGTACCCAGTATTGACACATTGAACCAGAAGGCTTTTTCAAGCCAACACATATCTCAAGTTCTGGGCTCTTTGAAACAGTAAGTGTATATTATATTATAGATATATTAACAGTTCTACTAAAAGCATATAGTTGACTGTTATTTTATCTCCACACATTTTGTTTATTTATATCTCTTGACCACTTTAATATAATGGCAAGGAGGTTAATAAACAATATTTACTAATGATATTAATTGAGTGGTATTCCAAATATACAGATATTTCACAAACTCTGAGGAGTTTAAGTACCTTTAAAGGTCTTTATAAATAATAATAATCTTATTAAATACTGAGTTTCATTAATTTAATTAAAGTCTTCCCGTGACCACGGCTGCTGCAAAGCATCCGAAACATAGGGCCGAAGTTAAAAATAATTTTCTTAAAAGTTTAACTAATATATTGCGTTTTAAACCGTCAAAGTGTTTTATTTAAATAATCTTATTCTTTTAACAGCTGGAACAATGGAGAGAACCACCTTATTTTTAACATGGTGGCTGGATCCGAACCAAATTACAACACCGTCATTGATCTCAACACAAGCAGTGCCATTATAGCAGGGGCTGGCTTTGATACTTGGACATTTAGATACGGTTTTGACATATCATTACCTCTTTACAGTCCGTTAGCTTATGAAATAGATAATACACAGCCTAAACAAAAGGATTATTTAATTATATCATCACAAACAAATGTTCCAAGTGACTATTTAGCTGAACTACAAGGTATTGCTTCGTCATCCAACGACTTGCTACTCTTAGATAGGTGTAAAAATGATATCAATGACTACACCAAAAGGTGCGAGTATACAACTGGCAAAATTTTTGATTACCCAGAGGTTTTGAAAAACGGTCTATTCTGTTTGGTCGTGCGAAGCGCTAGATTGATACAGAGTGTCCTGATGGATGTATTAGCATCACAATGCATTCCGATTATAATAGCTGATACTATAGTAATGCCATTCAATTCTCACATTGACTGGAATCGAATAGCAATTTTTATACCAGAAGATAATATTAAGAATTTATTAAAAATCGTACATTCAGTGAGCAATGAACGCCGCGGCGAGTTATACTGGCAATTGAGATGGGTTTATGAAAGATATTTTGCTAGCATCGAGAAAATCACTATGACGACTTTAGAGATATTAAATGAAAAAGTGTTCCCTTTGTCAGCTAGAATTTATGAAGATTGGAATATGCCTGAACACTTGGTGAGTTTTATTATATTAAAATATCTTTTGTATAGATTATTTTTCCTTATAATAATGTATGTTTTTTTTACTATGTTGTGATAATTAAATACAGTCTATAGTTTACGCGAGTAGTACACATTTAAATAAAATACTTTAACAATTTAATTTAATATTCTCCCCGTGACCACGGCTGCTGCAAAGCATCCTAAACGTGGGGCCGAAGTAAAAAATCATTTTCAAATAAGTTTAACTAATATATCGCGTTTTAAACCGTTAAAGTGTTTTTGTTTTTATTTAAAAAATGTAAAATTTGCATATTAAATGATTAGTATCTCATCTTCCAACAAGTCAACCCAGTACTTGTTTGTTCTCTTCTATTATAAAAAAAATGTTTGAATGTGTATTCTTTCTTCTCTTGCAATGTCTTTAAAACTTAGTTCTCTTATAACTGTCTCAATGAGTGTCAATGTGGTACACGTTCCTGAGATTGGTGTTAATTGGTTGATCATTGATTTGTACAGCAAGTTTATTATTTTTTAAATTGAATGGTATTCTTGAATTATTTACGAAAGTTCCCTTGGTAATTTATGTTAATTATGAAGTTATTTGTACACAAACCATAGCACAAAATATGGACTACAACCTGATTTCACTTAGTTTGTTTAAAATGAAACAACAATTTACTGCTTATTGACAATCAGGTGATGTCGGGCACAAATTAAACATTTACTTAGGTTAAAGTGTGTTTATATCAGTTATGTGTAATTTCGTACATCGGCATGCGAGTGTGACACGACTACCCATCGTCGATTCGTCAATCGTGATTATCTTGACTAGAGTTTTTTGACGATATAGAACAGACAAGCATGACGTTCACTTGATAAAGGAAATCGTCCAGTTTTATAACATCCACACAAGATGTGCTATCGTCCTATATTGGTTTTGGATATAGAAAAAGTAACTGTTAATTTGTGGACGGTAGTTCGTGATACGGTCAGAGATTGATATTCTGCAGTGTGAATTGAACGCTGTAAATGCCGATACAAATCCCGGCCGTGTCATAATTTTCTTCAATCTTAATAGATTTTTCATTCATATGAATTGATTTTAAACATTTTGGACCCCTTTGGAATCGAACTCACATCCCGTTGATTAAGTATTAGCCATACACTCTACCATTGGACGAAACAGCCCGTAAAATGTTACTTGTAACTTGAAATACCGGCGCGCCAGTGTGATTCTCACGATAAGAGGTCTGTCCATCATTTTATCTTGACTAAAGATATCTACAAAGCATTATCCGTAAGTTCATTGGTCTGATGAAGTTCTTATCAGGTGTCGCGATTAGATTAATATCTAGGCTATGGATAATCTAAGTAGCGCTTACGCATAAATACCGCTACAAAGTAATAAAAGTTTTAGCAAAGATGGACAAGTTACGTTCAACGGTACGCGACTTGCTAATCGACTGTGGAATTATACTAGATGAACGTAACTTTCACTATCGGGAATTTACATACTATTAAATAAACTTAAACAGGTTAAAACGCGATATATATATTAGTTAACTTCTTTGAAAACTAATATTTATCGCGTTTTTATTTAAATGTGTACTACTCGCGTAAACTAAAGACAGTATTTAATTTACTTTTGCGTGTGTGTGTGGTAATTATTGTTATATCATAGATGGTAGTTTGAACATAACGAACGATCTTTATTAATCAACTAGCTGGGCCAGCGACTTCGTCCGCGTAGTTAGTTTGAACGTCAAAATTTGGTTTTGGCCCCATCTTTATAAATGTATTTTGTTACCCGCGACGACCTTCCGTCAATCTTGCAAGTTAATCTTAAAAGATAAACATATACTGTCGCGGACATTTTTTTGGATCATTTGAAGAGGAATCATACTTTCGTACATAACTTTTGCGTAGATGAATAATTTCCCTCTGTTTCTTCGCTTCCATTGGCCGCATCGTGATGCTTTATAGCCTGAAGCCTTCCTCGATAAATGATCTAACCAGCACAAAAATAATTTTAAATTCGAACGAGTACTTCCCGGGGTTAGTGCGTTGAAACAAATAAACTGTTCAGCTTTGTATATCAGCATAGATTTTTTAAATCTAGAGACTTATGTACAAAAGAATATAAAACATCAGGTGTTTTATTATTTATCGACAGACTTTTTAAATAATTCTTTACTCTTTGGTTTTAAATGTTTTATCTAATGACATACTTATATTGGTTTATTTTTGCCCTAATATGACCGCATCTGTGAATTAAAGTTTAAACACAATGTATAGCATGAATCCCGGGATACCTAACCGATTTAATTGCCAGGGCAAAGTATCTACTTGCGTATTCATAAAATCGAATACTGAAACGAATTCAAAAATTCCTTTCATGACCCAAATAGGGCACGCATATAATATTTAAATGAGGCCTTTAATGATTCCTTTGAAAGGACATTTATCATGGACGATAATATTTACAATTATCTTGCAATTAAGTGGATGCGAAATGTAATAATAGTTAACATTAAAACGAATACACAATTCATAATGGTTTCGAACAGTTTTACAAACCAAATTTATTCAAGAAAGTAGTTAACGAACACATGAATTCAATATACTTTCAAATTTATTTAACGTTAACTTCAAGTTCTTAAACAAGGTTGTAGAACTAGCCAGAACTAGCAAGGAACTCCCCGAAGAAACGAAACTGCTTAATTATTACCAGCATTTTTCGGAGTTAAGTTTTTTAATATTTTATATATCAATAGTATGGACCAGTGAATCCATTGTTCCTGCCAGTGACAGCACCGAAGGCGCCAGGCTTCACGGCCGTCATATTGACTTACGACCGAGTTGAAAGCCTCTTCACGCTCATCAGAAAATTGGTGCGGACGCCGAGTCTAGCCAAGATATTGGTTGTATGGAATAACCAGAAACTACAGCCACCGCCTGGTGAGTAATATATGATAGGATAGGCTACATTAGAATAGAAATACATTTCTTCAGGAACAACATTTACAATTAAAACTCAATCTAACAAACAATATCAAGAAGTGAATGCATTTAAATGCAACGCTTTAACGGTTTAAAACGCGATATATTAGTTAAACTTATTTGAAAATGATTTTTAACTTCGGCCTTTAAAATGATTTTTAAAATTTTCAAATAAGTTTAACTAATATATCGCATTTTAAACCGTTAAAATGTTTTATTTAAATGTGTACTGCTCGCGTAAACTATAGACAGTATACATATTTTTTTATATTTTTACTAGCGACCCGTCCCGGCTTCGTTCTGATGCAATGCTGATCCTAAATAAACTACAGAAAAACTAAACGTTGTATGTAAAAACTTGCTCTTGAATCACTCTGTATATTAAAAACCCAGCATCATAATCCATTGCGTTATTAAATACGACAATATTACAACTTCATAGGCGAGCCACTTAGCTGCGTTGGGACTGATGTCCCAACACTGATATTCTGTGGCCTTTTCAGAGGCCGTGGCCCCTTCAGAGGCCGAGCTAGCGCAAGCGAGATCGTTTTTCATTTTGTTTTTTACACTTAACACACATCTATTTATCAATTTATATAGAAATTAAAACATTTGTTTGTATCTATCCGTGTTATACATATTTGTAATATAATCAGTCACATGAGTCACTTTCGTATTGGTAGAATTTTCGTTTTTAAATTAAAAAGAAGAAAAAGCATACTTTTAGGTGGATTAGGGTTACAATATAAGAAAATAACAATTGCCTCTGACCTACTTACGAAATGTATAATACACTCTCCCAATACTTTAATTAATGCATTCTCTAATACACTTATGGCATGCATAATATGATGTTCAGCTAAAATTAAGAATGGCACTTGACATGAATCGAAATTATGTATTTTATATTCCACGTCGATAATAATTAGGCTGGAACTTTGCTTCATTATTCTCTTGAATCTCAACGTAAAATTCAGATTTCTATAACAGGCACTGGAGGTAAATTCTTCACAATTCAGGTCATACCGATTGTGCCGGTCGACAACTAAGATTTTCCCTAGAAATATCTAAGAGTACACCGCAGTGATTACAGTTATATCTCAATTAGTTCGGATAAAAATCTGTGGCGTAGCTATCGTAAGGTCAGTCGGTTCAGTGTACCAGGGTCTCGGAGCTTAGGGGGGTCTTTACCCTCATCTATGAAAAGGGACAAACGTAGAGGAAAAAAAAATTGTTTGTTTTCAATGATGGGCCTTATATAAGTAGCTACCCAGTAATAGGGGGGTGAGGGTCTATTTTTTCTTTAATACCGGGGCCCTTGTTCACTTAGCTACGCTACTGTTAAAAATACTCGATGTTTTGACGGAATTAAATAATCTCACGTTTGAAAAACAAGAGCGTGCAACATAACTGTCCGACGCACATGCGATGTTGTGCCGAGAGTGAAATTAAATATTAATATTGCAATATCATTTGTATTCCGCTAGTAGCAGATACCATTTTTCAGTTAACGCTCGTAGTTATTGGATATTCATCTAAATGCGCTTTCAATGTTTTTTCAATACAGTGGAAACGTAGAATGTAATGTATGGTTTTAGCGCTGTATGTACATTCGGTATGAATTTGCATTTTACTCGTGAAAAGTCGATCGCGTGCATTATAGATAAGACAATAGATTAATGTAGTGATAAACCAATAAGCTTTTATGGCAACACTGAAATGCTTTTTAGTGAAAAAATGTAAATAATTGTTTTTTAGTAATAAATAAATAAATATAACAATTTAAAATGTGTATGACTAATCAGTTACAAAAAACAGATACTAGGTCATTTAGTGTTCTGCGTGTTAATTTTATAGCCAGAAATAAATTATTTTGATTGTTAAATTCAGTTTCGAATTATAGGAAAACGTTTTGTTTTTAAATAAAATAGTTTAACGGTTTAAAACGCGATATATATTAGTCAAACGTTTTTGAAAATCATTTTTAATTTCGGCCCGACGTTAACTACGTATATACGTTTTGTTTTTAAATAAAACACTTTAACGGTTTAAAACGCAATATAAAAAGTGAAAGCCCGTTCCCTCTCGTGGGGCTTGGGGCGAACACATTTCTGTTATGCTTTTTTTAGCTCTATAGGCCTGACTCATGTTCGTATAACCGTAAGAATATTGGAGTGCCGTCGTTCATATACCTGTGTGTACCTTTATTATTGCAAGGAGATTCACAATGTGGTCTACAGTATTTTTGCGCCGGCGGTTTGAACTATGACAATGTTTTGCTCTGTTGACTCTCACCATTGACGGCTAAATAAACGAAAGGGCCATAATACCAGCGCTTTCAGGCTAAGTGCAGTCACTAACAGGTGGTCAACAAGCTATTGTTCATATGTCGTATACAAAGCGAGCTAAAAACTGTTCAAGTCACATCGCTCGAGTATGCTTTTACTGAAAACGTTTCGGCATACGTCCCTAGATAGGCTTTAATTTTAAAAGAGACGTAGCGTCTCTCGCAGTTTACGCGGCTGTCTTAAAAATGGACCAACATTTTTGTTCAGCTATAAAGCGCGGGTTCGGACGGTCTCAAATCTCATAAAATGCTGCCCTTCGTTGAAAATTTAACCGCATTTTAAAGAAACAACCGAAATAAAACGTGAAATATAGATGAATCGCCTCTGGACTCGAGTGGTCTGAGTTTTGCGAATATATAAGATCCCAGCACGAACAGTGAATACTAACTTTCCAGCTTTTGTAGCAATAAATGCTAGACTTAAAGAAAACATAACGGTTTAAACGCGAAATATATCAGTTAAACTTTGTTTACAAATTATTTTAACTACAGCGTGACATTTTGGATGCTTTGTAGGAACCGTGGTCATGGGAGGTAACGGCGGCAGACCGTGGTTAAAATAATTTGTAAATAAGTTACACTAATATATTTCGCGTTTTAAACCGTTAATGTAGACGGTGTGTGATGCATTCTATTGAAAGTTGAATGCAATTTATATTTAAATTGTAATCCCATTACTTACGTTTGATAGTCTCGCGCCAAGCGCTTCTTCAAGCGCACGTTCTGCAGTGTTTTTAAATCTGTTCCAAAAATAGCACTAATCCTACAACAAAGCGTGAATATGTATCACTGGTCTTGATTATAACAAACTATTTTAACGTTTTATAATAACGAAATGCTCGTTGAAAAGGCGCAGTCGTGTGTAACAGCGAGCGATATTAATGGAAAGAATAAATTTTGAGCCGCGTTTGTAATTTATTTTAATAAGTTTTCATTTACTCTTTAATGTACTGTACATCAGCGACTCGAAGGTAATCACGGGATCCTGGATTCGAAACCCGGTGAAACAGCTAAGGTGGGACGGAACACAGAAGTTTCATCAGCTACTTGTGTGTAAATAAAATTGACCCAGTGATACACCTGTTAGGATAGAAGGCGTTCTTAGCCTCTCCCTTTTCAAGTTTACATGCGTTCTGTGCGCTTGGGAACAGAAGCTGCGTAAATATATTTGGTACTTAGACTTGGTAAATTTAAAATTACTGATTATGACTTCGAAGTTCAGCTTTATGAAAATTCACTTGGTGGTAGAAGTAGAGGTTCCGTTCGGGTCCACAGATGAAGAAGCTGTGAAGTTTATTTGCGTTTCGGTTTTAGTGCGTCGGTATTTTAATATCCAGAGAATGTATACGTGGGCATATCACCAGTGAATCCCATGCTTGTCTGTACTTCGGTATATAAACAAATATTCAATAGATTTTTATTGAACGGCTTATTATTTATTTAAAGGAAATTTATGACTGAACATTCCACTTAGGGGTTGTCCATTAATCACGTGATCTCTTTTTTTTGAATTTTTTAACCCCCCCCCCACCCCATTGGTGAGACGTAGTAAGGTTTAAGACAACCCCCTCCCCCTTCTAAACATCACGTGTATTTTTAGTACCTACAAAGAATCTTAAAATTTTCTAAATATTATCTTAATTTAAATACAGGTATAAACTATAATCTTATTTTATTCTGAAATTAAAGACCATAATAAAAATGTCTACACCATTTGTTTAAAAATCGCGCGTTTGACGAAAAAATAAATACACGCGATATCTTACTACACCCCCCCCCCCCCTGTATTATTTTCGTGATTTTTTTTAAAACCCATCCCCCCCCCTTTCAAGCCTCACGTGATTAATGGACGACCCCTTATCTACAAAGTTATTAAGATTTTTAAAAGAAAAACGAAAATTTAAATTAAATATTCAACAGCCCTTGACTCGGGTTCTAATGAATATTAAAATCGATCCCGAGTTTCGAAGTAATAGAGAAAATCCAGTTGTTTTGCGTTTTATTTACTTCTCTTTAACTAGAGATGTGAAACAAAGACAGTGTATAATGACGTGCTTGTGATTATAGCGGAGAAAGAATAAAATATTACTGTGCAAAGGTAGCCTGTAATTAAGACCATATGAATGCACGCGAATTTGTTTAATTAGTTTCGAGTGGGTTTAGAGTTAATCTGGACAAAGCTCGCATGTTGGACTCATTATGAAAACAGTTAACTTGGTTAATTGTCTAAATTCATTGAAATCATAAGCCTTTTAAATAAGACACTTTAACGGTTTAAACCGCGGTAACCACGGCTGCTGCAAAGCATCCGAAACGCCAAGTTAAAACTCATTTGAAAATGATTTTTAACTTAAGCCTTATTTTTCGTATAGCTTTCCAGCAGCCGATATCGACTGTAAGATGGACTTTCGGAATGTTAAATGTTTTCAGGAATATATTAGATTATAGTATGACTTCGAGTTGGTCTGGTAGCATGTATGGCAAATAATTAAACGGGTTGTGGGTTCATAGAAACATGTTGCGTTTGTACAATTTAAAATATTTCTGAAATATGTTGGTCTCTGAACGGAATATCGAAATTCCGTCCGGGTCACGAACCACAGATGAAAAAGCCGTGAGTTAAATGCGGTGTCGGTTTCAGATTTCTGTTGATTCGCGAATATCCAAAGCCAAATAGGTCGACAGCACAACTTGTTTAATTGTTATGTGGTTGGGGCATCAAATGAAAGCGTTATGTGTCTGTCCTCTATATAAAAAAAATATTGACTACTTTTTAACAATGCAACTAAACTATAGTTGTATTTAATTCGATTTGCATCTTTATTTTATTACTCGCGTCGTATTCTATAACAAATGACTAACTCTTCCCGGGCATTCGATTTTAAATAAAAACAAAGCCTAAATATAGCTTAGCTTGAAGGTACGAAATTGGGTAAGGATGGCACGGAACTTGGAGTGTACGTACTACATAAAATTAATTTAAAATATTATTTCTACTGTTCTCAATATTTCTATATCACTTGCCTATCAGATAATCTATAGGCAAAGACCCCAATTTCTATTGCTTTATAATAAAGACAACAAATAGGTAAAGCGAGATTTTTTGTGATCAGGCGATCTGTTTGTTGTAATGTACAATACTTTTTTAAGTACCAGAAAGGTCCAAGATAGATGAAATTAAAAAAAAATATTTTTAAATTTCAGCATCCGAATGGCCAGTAATCAACAAGCCGCTGAAAGTGATACGAACCAAAGCGAATAAATTGTCGAATAGATTCTTCCCTTACGACGACATCGAGACGGAGTGTCAGCTGACCATAGACGACGATATTATTATGTTAACGCCCGATGAACTGGAGTTTGGGTGAGTACAATGCTATGCAATACTAAAATATAAAGTTTGTATGTCTGATACTTTTTTACGCCACAACTACTGAACGGAAATCGAGGAAACATATAAGTTAACCATTGCATTTCTTTTTACACGATGGGAACCCTCATTTTTTTGTTTCATACTTTGGTACACACAAGATACAGATACACAATGGAATTTTACAATTAAAGAGTGTACCTGGCGGCCTTATCGATATAAGCGATCTCCTCCAGGCAACTCGAGTATAAAGAAACTTTATAAATAAAGTAGAAAATGTGCAAGATCCTTTTTGGAATATTCTGGTTAAAACTATAAATATACGACTGTCTGCAATTTACGCGAGTAGTACACATTTAAATAAAACACTTTAACGGTTTGAAACGCGATATATTTTAGTTAAACTTGTTTACGGTACAATAGTAAGCTTACAATTAAACAATAAACGTAGCAAGGAAAATGCAAAATTAGGTTAATCCTAGAACTAAAATTCTGTCAAATGCTAAGCGTAGATAAAACCATACTCAAGAAGTTTCAACGTCAGCCTTCACTAAAAGGGAGTTTATATCATTATATATTTTAGTTCATAGAACTGGGAACACGCTCCATTTCTAGCACCAAGTGTAAGTGATTTAACTGTTTCCAGTTTCGACGTATGGCGAGAATTTCCAGATCGGATAGTGGGATTCCCGTCGCGGCTCCACGTGTGGGACAATGTAACCAGCTCCTGGAAGTACCATAGCGAGTGGACCAATCAGATTTCTATGGTATTCTATTTTCCATCTTAATTAATTGTATATCATTTTCAATAGATATAACTGTAACTGAGAAAATGTTTTATTCAAATCAGCTAAGCTAAGCCGTGATACGTTATTTTGCACTTTTTTGTGTGGCTTCATTTGCGACTTTCACAAAGGTGTTATTGCTTTGATTTCAAGGTTATGTTATTTTTAACCTGGCCTAATAAATATATATATATAGACTTATGTTTTAATAAGCCATTTTAAGTATGCGTTCAAAATAAAGATTCGCTTTCAACATTGTCTTCTCAAAAAAACAATAGATTTGCAATATATTCATGACTTTAAGTAAAAGGGTTACAAAATGAAAATCATAGTTCCAAATACTGTGAGTTTACTACACATTCAAATAAAACACTAACAGTTTAAAACGCGAAATATTAAATATAGTTCAACGTATTTGAAAATTATTTTAACTACGGTGCGAAGTTTCGCATGCTTTGCAGTAGCCCTAGTCTGTGCTAGGCTGTTTTAGATAGATCATTGTTGTTACTAATCGTTGGATTGTGCTCCTACCTTTTTCAATTATTCTTTTTTAAATTTGATTCATAACCGTAATAAGGAAATATTAAAAAGACAAAAATGATACTTCAGGTGCTAACTGGGGCAGCCTTCCACCACAAGATCTGGTCCTGGTACTACACTTATAAAATGCCGGCGGAAATTCGACGCTGGGTCGACGATAATTTCAATTGCGAGGACATAGCCATGAATTTTCTCGTCGCCAACGTAACTAGGAAAGCGCCGATTAAGGTACATAACCGATTGTATTATATCTTGGAGTCGTATGTATTGAAAAACTTCTTAATTTACCAATTGTGTGTCGTCAATAGTTATTTTATTCACAGTTAAATTTTATTATTTAACTATATCATTAAGATTTTCACTAAGAACCGGTAGTTTAATAAAAACTTCTTTAAAACGCTACTTGTGGAAAAAACTTATACGGAAATGATTCTTAACCCCCCTTGACCACCTTTTTTTTATTTTTTTTTTTCCCCCCCCCCCCCCGCCCCAAGCTCAAAGTGGGCCAAGTTAAAAATCATTTCCAAATAAGTTTAATAAAACGCGTTTTAAACCGTTAAAGTGTTTTATTTAAATGTGTACTACTCGCGTAAACTATAGACAGTATTCAACCTACTTGTAAAACTTACGTGTATAGCCCTAAAAATTTTCTTACGGTTTGGATATTTGTTGACAAAACCAAAAAGCTACATATTACCTATATAATCAAAATTACCCATAAACGGATGAGCTACCTAACACTGCAGTTATTTTGTCAATCTTAAGCTGATAGTCAATAAGTTCTAATTATATTATTTCTACTAAGTTTTAAAATTTTAATATTCAACGGGTGGTATGAATAAAAAAAAACCTAGAACCACTGTCCCCAGATAAAAAAACCGTGAAGTTTAATCGCGTTTCGGTTACAGTCTGTACACTTCTTCATCCAGAATGGGTCGATAGCGCGTCTTGTCGGGATCTTGATATATGGCTATACTCTATGACTGAAAACAAAAACGAATTGGTCTATTCAACCAGACCAACAAAGAAACTATTCCTTATACCTTTCTTATTCCTCCTTATAACTAACCTATAGCTTATTCGTGTTATAAGGCTAAAAATTAAAAGTTATCTTCCAGGTGACACCCCGCAAGAAATTCAAATGTCCAGAATGTACAAACACCGAAATGCTATCAGCCGACGCTAAGCACATGTCCCAGCGGTCGGCGTGTATCGACAAGTTCACCAAGATATATGGCCACATGGCGTTGAAGTCAGTAGAATTTAGGGCTGACCCGCTGCAGTATAGAGAGACTGGATCTGGTATACCCCATCTTTATCCAGATATTGGCGCTCTCTGAGTGATCTTGTGTACACCCCAAGATTACGGGTATAAGGGTACGAAAGCTCATTAGGGGGCTGTTTAGTTGGAGGTATATAGGTAAATAGATAGTCCCTCACGGGTAATGAATGGGTAAGTTGTCATGTGGGCAAGTTCAGACCATCGTGAACTTTACTTAGCGACTGCCCCCTACGCATAACACTACGGCTCTATTGGTAAATACCAAAATTTTTGGTGGGGGTGGCCTATAGTGTTTCAGTGGTTTTTTATAACGTCGCCTGATATCAAAGTTCGTATCCATTGGCCACCCTTACTTTTTGGATACACCTTTAATAAGTTTTAACGTGGAATAATGAAAAGGAATTGTTGTTTGATATTAAATTGATTTTATTATTGTATTGTCAATCGAGATATTATATTTTCGTATCTTTTTAATATCTATGAATTATTGAAGCTTGTTTACGCTGGCTTATTTCTTTTTACATCATTATATTTGACATTTACTATATTGTGCTGTTTGGAACATACATACATTTATTTCTATTTCATTCAACATGTACACAGTTGAAAGAATTTTTTTTTAATTTATATTATTATTTGAAGGCGAAACGATAGTAGTTACATTAAACTAAGTGGTCCTTCAAGCCGGATGAAAACTATCGACATTCAAAGACAAACTAATTATGCTATATGAGAAACATACATTTGCTCTTCTAAGATTAAAGTAACGTACAATAATAATTACGAAAGCTTATAATAAAACATATTGTAATTCTAGAAAAAGCTTTGTTTTTAAAACTACATAAGATGAATCACGTTTTGTATCTATCACAGTTTGTAACATGTTTTTATTGACAATACAATATAAATTATTAGAGAGCTGCTATTAATTTCGGATGTGTGGACAATAAATTTTGAAGGCTGTAAGCGAAGTAAATGGGAATCGTCCCCCATATACCAGGGTAATGTAGATTTAATGACTCTTTCCTTTTCTAACTATCGATCTGACATTTCAGTATGCTGCTGTTAAGGGTAGAAGTGTAACCTTAATACTTCAATTAGAGGTACACAATGTTACAAAATTTTATTCATTTAGTTTTATTGTTCGAATGATTAAACAGTCAGAAAGATAACGAACAAAATCGTAATATTAAGTTTTGTCGAAACTGTTGAAAATATTTATCACGTAGACTTAAATGTTATTTTCAACATTACGTAACTGAAATTGCTGTTCTAATATTTTATTTTGTTAACATATATACATCACGTACGTTTTACGACGATGGTACTTGTACTTCTATGTTATACATAAGTCCCGGTAACATAACGAACAAAACATATAATAATATTTTAACTGACTATTATCTGTTGTATATTTTAAACTGTGCCATGTTATTCCATATTCACCTGCGATAAGGCAGCTTTATAGTTAATTTGTAAGCACTAGTTTTATTTTTCGTTGTGAATTCACTAAATAATATTTTAAGGACACGAGACGCATAACTACGATCAAATAAGTACACGACCCTTATATAGTCCCAATTATCCGTCGACAAATAAAACTATTACAGATAAGTTTATATGAAATTATTAAACATAGTTTAGATTTTATAATTTAGAATTATTGACGTATTTTCATCTCACATAACGTTCTATGGAGTTGGAAATTTAAAAGTATTTTATTTTCTTATATCTCTGGATAGATGGCAGTTATTTCATAGTTATAAAGCACATTTATAATTATTGTAATAGTATCAATTATTTAAAGGTATGTAAGTGTGTTATTGTCATTATTAATTTATGTTTTATAACGCAATACGGTATATAATTCTGGCATTTTACGTTAGATACAAATGTTATATATTTGTGAACCCCTAGAGTTGTAAAAATTGAAATTCTAAAGGTAACATTTGAAAAATGTAGTTGTCTAGGTGAGTTTAGTCCATTTTGACATATCGGTGCTTGTAAGAAGGATTATTCCTATGAACGTAGCTGTACTTCGGATATCGCACGAGTAGAATTAGAGAGTAAATATTGCGATGTATTTTTTATATCGCGGTCTTGCGGCAATTAGAGCAAGAATTCCGCAAGAGGTCGGTATTCTCGCAAAGAAGTCTTCACCCTTATTATAAAGTGTGGTTTAGAAGGATACCTTTGTTAGTTCATTCTCCAGAATCATGCTCTTGATAAGTTAACACCGTTAGATAGAATCAAATATAGTTTTACTATAAGTGCGTACGAGATATTTTTTACTTTTATAAGATTCCATATTTCTTTATATTACGTAGCTACACTGAATGTTTGTACGCCATTTACATCTTTATTTATTTAGCGTTTTTTGTACAGATTACGAATTTTATTTCTAAGTGATTTGTATACATAATATCGTAGCCAAAGAAATCGTCGACTAGTCTCGAGAAGGATATATTTTATGATTTTTACGCATTTAAATGGTTTTAGGTATAGATAGTTACCAACGCTATTCAAACGACAGACTGAAAAATCAATTTGTGTTAGGGGAATGCTAGTTGTATGGAATTTAGATTACGTAGTCTCGTGCTAATACTGATTGTCAGCCAGATTTGATGTTGGTAACGATTTTTATTTTAATAAACACTACTATATGCGGCTGCTAGTGCCAGAGTGGCCTAATAACAAACAACATGACTGTCAATAAGGAGGAAAATAAATATGCGCAATTTCCTAAGGCGAAAATGAATTTGTACTATTTGTGTAAGAATTATGTTAACAATTTTCGATCACTGCGCTCTTTTGTCATAAAAATATACGTTAGGCTACTTTGTCTCTAGCGGCCTCATATTGTGTACTAGAGCGTTTTACATTAGGCCTAAAAACGTGCTGTGGAAACTAACATTTCAGCTAATGGTAAGCACAAACTGTAACCTTGGTTTAATTTTGAACTACTCTCGATTTTTGTACATCAAGAAGCAGTTTCTTCTACATCACATTACTTCGTACTGTACTTTCATTCTAATGTGTTTGTTGATGTCTCGGTCTGTAGATGAATGTTCATAGAGTAAGTGAGTACTTAATAGATTTTATTTGTTGCAATGTACAGCGTGTAAATAGTTTATTATATAATGTGAATAAAAGAAGACATATCAATTTGTAGAGATTATTTTATTTTTAAATTCGAAGTTTAATCTTTCTAAGAGTTTATCGTTAATTAACTAAATAAGCTATAACTAACACGAGCGTAAATCCAGTTTGATGGAGCATGCTTTGTCTGTTTTACTGATCGTTTTTATTTTCATTCTTAATCAGACTATAATGAACTGTCCGAACGAAACAGTACTCCGGGAAAGCAAGACTAGCCGTAGAGCATATTGGCTATAGTTTAAGCGAGTAGTACACATTTAAATAAAACACTTTAACGATCTAAACTCGAAATATAACTTGTTTACTAATTATTTTAACTATGGCCCGACGTTTGTGATGCATTGCAGTCATTTATATAAAACAGTTACACAGTTACAGTTATATATAAGTTAAATTTATTTACTGATTATTTTAACTACAGTCCACATTTCGGATTTTTTGCAGAAGCAGTCTCGTCGTGAACGTGGCAGATGTAAATATATTTCGCGTTTTAATCCGTTAGTATTTTGTTTAAATAGTACTGTCTGGAGTTTTCGTGAGTAAAACACTTAGTGGTACTTTAAAGTGCGAAGTATATTAGGTATCCCAAATTTTATTTTCACTACAGGCCGACGCTTCGTGTGCTTTACTCATGGAGGGTGTCTCTAATGTCTAAAGCAGGGACGTACAGACTTATTAAGACTAGGGGCCACTCGGGCAAATCATGAACTGATGGTGGGCCGCCAGACTAGACATTCAGATAGATAATTGAAAGATAATAAAGAATTCGGTCTGTGCATTTATAATCTAGTCTATTCAGCTACACTAGCACCATCTCTTTCCGCATATTTGATGTTTGGAGGAACTAGCTGGTTCCTTATACATAGAAGTGGTTATCGGTGTTCTCTCATATATGCAATGCATCGGAAACATCGTTAAATAAGTTAACCATAAATTAGTACATATACTCCGTATTACAACATTTCACGTAATTGGAAAAGTATAATTTGTTGTTGCATACCTGTTTTGTAAATTATCCTTACGTTGTTTAATCTGTTGACCGTAATCAAATTAATCTTCAAAATGAGTAAGTGAATCATTTCCAATTGCGTTATAATTTCCTGGTACCTTCCAGATGCAGTGGCCACGTGGGCCGCTACCGTCAAACGCATTGTTCCATAAACAGCCATTTAGCTGCCTCGTAAATTAGTGCGACCATAACTGATATCATTTCTAAGTGGAGTAAGTGCTATTGTTTCAAAATTATTCTATCTATATGGGCATTATGGTGTTTAGCCACTGCGGTTTCGTTTGATTTCAGGATTGGTAGATTTCTTGTTAAAATTATAATATGATGATAATTTTGTGTAGGTTTCGTTAGTTTTGTACAGGCAATTTAAATAAAACATTTTTAATGGTTTGAAACCCGAAATATAATATTTAAACATTATTTGAAGGTGCTACGCTAGCGCCATCTGCTTCCTGAGATTACTTTGACATTAGGGACAGCCCTACCTTCAATCAAGATATCGTGCCTAGTTAAAAAATAATAATAAGCTAAGAATATAATTTTCGTTTTTAATCCATCTTGCTTTTAAACAATTAGAAACGTGAACAAATTTTGAGTTCTAAAAGAAACGGAAAATGTGTTTTACTATTCTGTCTTTGTTTGATTACAATTAAACCAAGTAAAGCTCGTGGAAAAAGAGAAGGATTGACAAGGAACTCGCCGGCCTTTTTTTAAAGATTCACTGTATATACAGAGACAGTGATAATCGTCTAAGCAAATCAAACAGCTACATAGTATATACCTAGCCAAAGTTATGATATAATGCTAGGTATATACTAAAGCATTGAAAAGCTTAATCGTCCTATTTTACTAAGGTAGGCTCACATTTTAACGCGATTATGATTCTACGA